TTGTCCTCTATTTCGTTAGAAGCTGAAGTAATACTACTTGGTGACTTTAATGTGAACTTTTTAGCTACAAAAAATGATGCTTCCCGAGCTCTTAAGCGAAAACTCCTAAGCTTTACCAGCATGTACAATCTTGAACAACTTGTTGATAAACCAACGAGAATAACTGAGAACTCAAGTACATTGATTGATCTCCTATTCGCTAACAATAATCATCGAATAGTTTCCTCCGGAGTCCTACACGTAAACTTAAGTGACCATTCTCTTATTTACTGTGTTGTTAAAGCGGGTGTACGTAGAGCACCAGGAAGAGTCATAGAATACAGATCCTACAAGACTTATTCAAAGCCATCTTTCCTCGCCGATCTTGTGCATGTTAATTTCGATCTTATTGACGAAGAACAAGACATTAATGTCGCTGTAAGTAAATGGAATGAACTGTTCACAAATGTTGCCAATCTTCATGCTCCAATTAAGAAATTGAGAACAAAAGGAATCCAAACCCCATGGCTTACTACTGATTTAAGCAACGCAATGCAAGATCGCGACTACCACCATCGCAAAGCCGTTAAGTCAAATTCGCCCTTTCACTGGATGATGTACAAGAAGATTAAATCTTACGTCAACATAAATGTTAAGAAATGCAAAGCTGAATACTACTCGAACCTGATTAATACGAATAAAGGAAACACTAGTGCTTTATGGAAAACGTTAAATGACATCTCGTCCCGAAAATCTGCTCGCCATCTTGTATTGAAGCTAATGGTGTTTCTCATACCGACCCAAAGTCTATAGCTGAGTCATTAAACGACCATTTCTCAAGCATAGGATCCAAATTGGCATCTAAGATAAGAAATTTGTATCCAAATCGGAATTCTATCAAGCAACCTAGTGAGTTTAGGGAAAATGAATTTGTTTTCCAGCCAATTGAAGAAAGTTATGTGTATGGTGTTCTGAACAATCTTTAAACCAACAAAGCTGTAGGCCTAGACAAAATCAGCGCTAGGTTACTTAAAGATTCTTCCAGTGTTGTAACTCCCATCCTAACCAAACTTTTCAATCGTTCACTCACTTCCTCAACATTTCCATCACCCTGGAAGTCTGGCAAAGTAACAGCGCTTTTTAAATCTGGTGACAAATCCAATGCTAGCAATTACAGACCAATCACGATACTCCCAACAATTAGTAAAGTTCTCGAGAAAGCAGTCCACTCTCAAGTTTACCGCTACCTTATTGACAATAAAATACTAACACCCCGACAGTTTGGTTTCAGACCTAAACTTTCCACTGAGATTGCGCTTGCACATTTCACGGACACCATTTTGGCTAATATGGACAAGGGTTTAGTAACAGGAGCTGTTTTTCTTGACCTGGCTAAAGCCTTTGATACTGTCGACCATTCTCTTTTATTTGACAAGCTTGCCTCATCTGGTCTCTCCAATGATTCTGTCAACTGGTTCAAGTCATACCTAAGCAATAGAAATCAACTTACCGCCCTGGCTAACACTGTTTCCTCCTTCAAACACGTTCCTGTCGGAGTTCCTCAAGGTAGTGTTTTGGGTCCACTACTATTCCTTATTTTTGTTAATGATTTGCCTTATTGTATCAACCATTGTGAAATATCCTTATACGCTGACGACACTGTGATATACCTTTCTTCAAACAATGCTTGCGATCTTGAAATGAAGTTAAATTCCGATCTAAAACACCTATGCAGATGGTTTAACGACAATCTTCTGACACTTAATGTCTCCAAGTGTAAATTTATAATTTACGGAAGTTCTCGCAAAGTTGCAAAATTTAACAATGTTTCCATCACGGTTAATGATTCCATACTTGATAGAATTGACTCCTTCAAATACTTAGGAGTTACAATTCAACAAAACTTAACCTGGTCAGAACATATCGACAACATCAGCAAGAAGTTTAATCAACGCCTTGGTCTCATTCGCCGCATAAAATTCTTACTCCCTATTCAAGCCAGACTCACCCTCTACAATAGTCTTGTTCTCCCTCTATTGGACTACAGTGATATCGTGTGGGGAGATAAAAACAACTCCACTCTAATGAACCACCTTCAAGTTCTGCAACATAACGCTGCGAGACTTATCCTTGATCTTCCTCGCCATTCTTCCGCTACCGAAGCCCTTGAAACTCGAGAGTGGAAACCCCTTTATCTACGTCGAAAATACCACCGTTGTATCTCCGTCTTTAAATGTCTTAACCGTCTAGTCGACTTTGATTTTAACCTTACCATAATCTCCCGTATACATAGCCATAAAACACGCCAGAACAACAACTACTACCTTCCACGCCCACGTACGAATTGGGGAAAACAGCAATTCACTTATCACTCAGTATCGGAATGGAACTCATTACCTATTGAACTGAAACAATCTACTAATCTTAATCTCTTTAAATCCAAACTAAAACAATTTATCTAATTAAGGTGAACAATTTATCTAATTAAGTTGAGTTTTTTTCTAACTATGAAGTATAATTATATATAATCCACTTGTAAATATTTTATAGTTTTTAAATAAGCATAGTATAGTTTACCATGTATAATATAGATATATATTACAGGACCTCCCTGAAAAACACTTCGGTGAGAGGAGCTTCCTGAATAAATATTATTATTATTATTATTTATTAATATTTGTACGCTTGCATGATGATAAACATATGATACTTTTGTTTGTGGAAACACCACGTAAATTTACTGTTTACTGCAAAGCTTTCGATCCGTAAGCCCGGTCTTCGATCATCATGAGTGATGAAGATACGGGCTTATTCGTGTTGTAGGCTATATTATTGTTATTATAATATTATTAAAACGAAGATCCGGTCTCACGGATCGAAAGCATTGCGGTAATAAATTTACGTGGGTAAGTGTAAACGTATCAGAAGTAAAATTCAATCCCGTACCAGCTTTGTGTTGTCGATCGATTTTATTAATAATTCTACCTTGACATTTTTAAGTCGTTCTTAACTCAATATCCGTAGGGAGTTTACGATCTTTCACGCGGCCGGCTCAACGATGCGGTCTAAATTTCAGCTCAAGAATGAGCGGTAAGCAATTTGACTACTGTAATAATTATTTGACGCTTTTTCAAATAACCTTACAAACTGCTACGTTCGGCTAAAGGGATGCAATTTTTGCTGTAATTTTGACTTTAAGTAACACCTCTTGGTTCGCATGAAGCTTTCACGTTGACTGAAAGACGTAATAATGCTTGTTTAACGTTGTGTTGAGAATGACAACGCGGTTGACAATACTCCTTGGACCACGAATTATTGACAGTTTTTGTCTTGCATGACAAATTTTTGTTTAAGTTCTTTGCAGGTTTGCATGGCGATAAAACATATAATACTATTGTTTGTGGAAACACCAAATTTCTTTGTTTTGAAAGCGCGTCGTCGAGCCGGACGCGTCGTAGACATAGATATCTTATATACACTAGATAGTGCATCTAATTATTCTGAAGTTCAAAAATTGAAGCCGTGATTGCAGTCTCAGGTCGTTCCCATGAAATTAGAAGATTCGTATGTTTTCTATTTCTTAAACAGGGAACTTAAACATTAAGTTAACCCTATTCCAAATTCGTTTTTAAAATATTCAAATGATGAAAATTATTGTTTTTAAGCGTTTATTAGCAAGTGGGAACGACCAACATGGCCGCCATCTATACAAAAGGGGGTAACCGCTGGAATATTGTTGGCTTCAATTTTACTAAAAGAGATGCGCTATCTAGTGTATATCTATGGTCGTAGATCGTAAACTCCCTAGTATGTTTTTACGCAACGCAGTATGTTTTTATGTGTGCTTGTACTAATCTTTTACATACCTACAGCAAATGTGGCTTGACCAATGTCTAACTCAAGTAAAAGCTTGCGCCTGTAAAGCAAATTATTTTGCTTTATTTCGAGCAAAGTATTTGTCGGCAAAACAATTTTTCAGTTAACCCAGCTACAGTACATAGCTTCACGACAAAGTTTCGAAGCGTTTTCAGTATCCTTTTATTTTACATTGAATTGAAGCCTATTGAAAGCCAAAACTACATGCGTTCTAGATTCTAGAGAAAACCCGCGATCCGCGAAAAACACCCGCGACAATTAGATTATCTCATCATTGATATATAACATAATTTGTTAAAAAAGGCGAGGGGTTGCTGCATGCATGTATTTCTAATATTAAAATATCATAAATAGGAAGGGGTTGTTATTATTCTATTTCAGATTATACAACACTAATAAAATTGAAACATTAATTAATTTAAAAGAAATTATTAACAAGGCTGTTTTCTAACCAAATTGGTATTTTACAATGTGCTTATAATTCAGTGGTCGAAAGCAGTGTTTACACCATTTCTATGTGAATGGAATTAGGCGATAGGAAATACGTTAAACTTATGTTCAAGTCTATATACAGCCGTACTTTTCTCAAGAATTATAGACTTTTATTTTCATAAATTAAAATTTATAAGTCGAACTAATGCGCGACTATAAAGAATCTGATGCAGAATGGTTATAGGTTGGGTTTCTAAAACAATGAAATGTTAACGAACATTCCGATCACTGATTCAGTCGTTACTGATAGTTGCACTATTATTATTCTAAGTGCAGCGATCATCCTATAAAGGCCTCCTATTTTCGAAAATGGGCAGTTCTAAATGTAAAATGGGAAACTTAATAAAATAAACGTAGAATGGCATTCCTAAACGTGACTCTTAGAGTTTTATATGTTATTGATATTGATAATGATATTGATAATAATTAATTATTCATACAGAGGTTTAAGGTCAAACAAACCCAAAATTTGATTCTGAAAATGCATGAAATGACCATTCTGGATTTGTGTAATTCATAACTGATCGGCCTCATGATATTCTCTCCTTGTTGAAATGGGCAGTTCTAAATTTCTTCTTAGGGTCACTCCTGTTCAAGTGTTTGTACAGGCATGCAGTTATCTAAAACTGCAAGCTAAATTGAACCGACTGAATTGAAAATAAATTAATTGGGAAATTTTTTAACCTAACCTGAGCAGATTGATTCAGTTTTTGCATGTTAGAAACCACTTCTTTTGCCACGGTCATTTTTATTATCGACTCTCCGTGCCCACATGCTGCTGCTGCTCCGCATTCATTTGCGTAACCTCCGCAGCCAATCTGTGGTACATCACCGACACGACCTTTAGATTTACCTGGTATACCACCTTAAAAAATCCAAATATAGCATTAACGTTGTCGTAATTTACTTTTAGTGTTTTTAGTGTTTTGGCCGTATGTTCTCTCTACAAGGCGTGTATCTACTATAGACATAGCAGAAGCAAGCATTTCATAATGAGATAATAATATTATAATCCCGAATCAAGCGAGGGTGCACGAGAGTTGACATGAGACACATGATTTTGGTTAGCTGTCCTAATACTGTCAAGTTAAAACATAGTTGGAACATGCACACATGCACCTAATCTTGATTTTCTGAATCTAAAGCTCTAGCTTGAAATGACCCTACGAAAATTCGTTACTGGCAACTCTCGTCAACTCTTATTCGCGTTTTCTGGGCTTTATTAGGCAGATTTAGATAAAGGACGCGGACGTCAAAGACGACGTGGAAATGGCGTGTTTTGCCTATGTATGGATATGCCACGCCATTTTGACGCCATTTTCGCGTCGTCTTTGACGTCCGCGTCCTAAATCCGTCTATTAGTGTTACCTGACGATGCCGCGCACGCCAAATTGCCCTTGCAATCCATGGCAATAGCTGTTACTGTGTCACCTGGGTTGTCATTGAAACGATTGGGGCCGTCCCATGGGGGATAGTCTCTGCCCTCCACAAATTCAATGGGAACGTTTTGTTTCACTGCAAATTCCAATGCTCCATCTGCACACAAAGTGCAATGGTCCGATTCATCCATGACTTTTCTGGCGAGTGAAACTGGGTGAAGAATATAACGTGCTGCTGTTACTGCACCTAAAAATTTAATTGGGAGATACTGACGTAAGAAATATCTGTAAATATGTAGCAGAACAAATCTGGTTTCGTTTTCGAAACGTGTAGTAATACGTTTTAAACCCATGGAGAATCTGGTGAATCATGTATTATGCTAAAGTATCTACACGTATATACAAGCCAAATCCTACCATCAACCACCTGTTGTAAATACAATGTATGATGCCGAACAGCGAATGAAAGAGATCATGGAAGCACCACAACTTTCTGCAATGGAAACAGGCAAGCTTTATTCTGATCAGCTAAATCGGTTTCTGACTTTCAAAAATAAGATGGATTTTCCAACTCATCATTCCACTCACGAAAAGGTTGAAGTCCCCGGTCAAACTACGCCACCATGCAGAGTATGCAGTACCCAATGAACCTGTTGAGACACCACTAGTTCTACCAGTGTCTACTACTTCTAAACCTAATTTCCTTACACCACCACCTACAGAAGGAGAAACACCAAAACTCAAGCGTAACTGTTTTCACAATTAGACGAAACGTGTGACTAGCACGAGTGACTCCCGAAGCAAGAAAGGATTATATACGTTTTATACTGAGAAATATATTCTAATGAAGCTGTAGAAAATGGCAACGTTATCGCCAAATGATAGATAAGAGTACTTGTATGAGAAATCTTTAAAAAGATAACAAAAACACCTAAACGTTATGTTCTTAGAAGTAGATCATACTATTGAGGGTGGGAAAGGGGGGTATGGGTCACGTTTCACGTGTCTTAAAAAAGCAATTTCACGGAAACTAGATTCTAATAATATAATATGATAACAATAGGTTTATTAAGAGTATGTTTAATGATAACCCGAAGTTCACGCCCTAATCACGGAATAGGGCCTGACACAAAACCTGTCTAAACTGTGGGATTCCCGTCCATCTGGTGGACGGGAAATCTGATTGGTTGATCAGCGTCATGAAAGATTTTGATTGGTTACAACTACACATAAACAACAGTTTTAAAAATAGCTCGGTCAAGGGCTCAAGGCGACAATTAATATAAAGGTCAAACGCACGTAATTTAACAAATTCCATTATCGATTTCTTCGAATTTCTTTTCTTTTATGCTTTATGGCAGAAAATAAATCAAACAAACAGTATTTTGAAAGGGCTTTATCAAAATCTTTGACGAATTTAGAACACACTACACGACGCTGAAAGAACAGCCAAACTATTCATGTATTCGAAAGCTTCTTGTTCTTATTTTTAATATCAGATCCTACCGGCGTTGTTTTCTGAGCTACATCGCCTTCTTCGTGGTACGAGAGAATTTCATTGTTGCTGTTGTTAGCCCGTTTGAGTGTATCCGCGTCCAGCAAGTTGAGACCTCAAGAAAGCTTGGTAGTCAAGCCGTGCACAAAACTGACTAATTAAATCTTTGTTTGCTGTTCGGTTAAATAGAGAAACTGACACTTAATTATATAAAACTACCTTGAATTTTTAAGTTTAATTAAAAAGCAAAATGCCCACTCTGCGGACATGTCCATGAGAATATATTTTTTTTTGTCACGAAATCTACAACACTTGTCAATTATATTGCATGCTGTATCTAAAAATAACATGTAGGCGTCCCACGATCTAGACAGGTTTTGTGTCAGGCCCTATTTAAAATGGGTGTAGATAAAAAGCGGACGGATAAAAGGCGGACAGCGGACCGCTGACGGCGGACCGTGGAGCATTTTATAAACACATGATTACTACCGCAACTAATTATAAGACCCTAAATTAAAGTATACCCGCCTTAGATCTGTGAAGTAAATATGTTTTCATCCGTACGTTTGAATTTTTAGCAA